AGAGAAAGAAGAGTTGGAGACTGCGGCAAATATGTTCTAACTGGGAAAGTGAGTATATCAAGTGACACTCTATAACACAAAAAAACCTCTTCTTCCGTGTAACTTCAGGGCTATATTGTCTGAGAAAGAAGTTTTCGGGCTTCTTACTGACTGTATCTTCCAGCCAACGCTGTTAAAGGAGGCATCTTCCAATGAATGAAAATATTTGTAAGCGTAACGGAGAAAACAGGTCTTTCATCAGGCTGTAGCTGACATAATCTGGCATCTGCAAACTTTGTTACTGGTGCTATTGCACAACACACAACAAACAAACAAAAAAAGAATCCAAACTGGCCTCTCAGTTTAAAATAAGTGCAGTTCTGACAGAAACGGACAGACATCTTTTTAGGATTTTCATCATTACCACAGTAATGATGATGATGATGATGGTGAACAGTGGTGAATGTGCTCTGCCACTTCCAAAATGATAAACACAGAACACCAGTGACACTTTACCAAACACTTGGTAAAGAAAGAAAGGAGGAATTTTTTTCAGAGGAAAGAAAGAGCATTACCCTCATGGAAATACTCATAGTGGTTATTGAATATGTGATGGTCTCAGAAGTTGTGAGAGGCAAGTTTGAAAGGTAGCGTCTTTTATTAGGGGCAATATCTTCCACTAGACAAGTTAATTAAGCTGGAAAAAAAGGATGAGGCTTTTAGAAACGCAGCCTTATTTCGCTGAAAGCATGTCCATTCCTGCAGCCATATTAGCTGACCTGATGAAAGACGTTCTCCTTTCGCACCGTGCCATTTTGCTAGAGCAAAACTCTCAGAGCTCTTCCAAAAGAATACACAAAGATTTTTACATGGTGGCTGGATTACCCTATACATATAAAAAGCTTAATACTGCATAATTGTTGCTGTCACATTTACCTAAGGTATTTGAGAAGTAGTATTTAGATCATATTGTGCTTTGTGAATATGACGTCTGAAAATGACCATTTCAAATCCAATTACGGGCATAACTGGCATTTCACTTTCCCCGTGGAGACCAGTACAATATGCTCCGAGAACCTGAACCAAATTTACCTCAGGAAAGCCTGGGAGAAGTACGCTGAAGACTGGGATAGATCTCTTATAGGCTTTGCAAGCAGAGAGCATTTTCCTTTTCATTCTTAAGTTTAATCTGATTTACTTGCAAACGTCAGTTTTGAAAGAGTTCTGAGATTTCCTCCACCTTTTTCTACTTTATTCTCTCCTGTCTCCATCCTCCACCGTTCAGCCTGAAAAGGGTTACAGAGCTAGACACTATTTTTGGTGCAGCTGCTGCTGTGATTAAAGTTTATCATAGGATGCCACCTCATCAGCAGGTCTGTGTTCATGAAGGTGCTGTGGAAATGGGCTGATGTCGTTCCCTGTTGAGCATTTTTAAGCCTCCAAGCAGAGCGAAAGGAATTACTGCCCTTGAAAGTCCAAAGATTCACATGACAGGGAAATCTTTAGGGTTCACCTATTCCTTGAATTCGACCGAGTTGACCTTTCAAGAGACCTTATGAATTCTTATAGGTGGTGATTTTTACAATATTAAACCATCACTAAGTGCTGTAACAAGTGTTTCAGTAACTAATCGCTGCTGGATTTTGCAGTTTGATGTCAAATTTTTACCTGCTCATCTCAAAAGTATCTAGCCTCAAAATAGGCTATTGGAAAAAAATGAATAATAGTTAGTTCCTTTGTTTACATTTGCTCATTTTTTATTTACAGATATACCCACTTCTTATCCTGGTTAATAATTTACTGTCAAAATGCGCAGGAGGAAAAGAAGAGGAGAAAGAAATGAAAGCAATTGAATAATTTTGATATAATGGAGACTATTTGGAAAATGTATTACCAAGGGAGAGACCACGTTTTTTCCACATATTGTATGTACAGGACACCCACACGCTTGATGAGACTAAGGAATTCCTTTCCTTGCTATTTTTTATTACAGCTCACCCTTTTAGAAACAATAATAAAAAAAGAAATGGAATAAAAAAATCCAGGACAATAAAGATTTAACAAAGACGAAGCTGAAAATGATCTGGGATTCTTACCTTGGCAAAGGCTTCCCAGGTTTGCACAACTGGTTGGTTCAATTGCAGAAGAGGGAATTAGGTATGAGCCTTTAGGAATAAAAAAAAAAAAAGGAGAGCAATTAGAAAGGTTTGGCTACTGGGCATAAAACTACTATGTGTCAAAATATATTATATCTTGCAGTGACACAGTCCTCTTCCTAACTTCTCTCAGTGGCAAAACTGATGCTAGAATTTGCCTGGAAGACTTATATGTTTTCATTTTCTGTTGTGGCCGAGAGATCCACGAAAAATCTGCTGACTTGCAAGTTACAGCCACTTACTGAACCTCCCCTGGTTTTCTTAGCTTTCACTAAATAACGTCCCGTTAAATGAATGCAGCTTGCGTGTGCCCGGGGAAATGGCTTTAAGCAGGGGGGTCACTGTGCCCAAAGGATTTATGCCATCTTCCTGAGCAACCACACGTGCCTTGGAGATGCAAACCCGCTCCGTTGCTGGAGCACAGGTTACCCACCACACGCTTCTGAGTAATCCGCCTGTGACACACACACCAACCAGATAAAAGGTGATTAAACCTGTTCCTCTGCCCAGGGCGTGGGGGTGATTAATATTCTGGTATGCATGATTTACAGGCAGATAATGTTATAAGTCTGTATCTCAACTGAATTATTCATAACAACATGCACACGCTTTGATGATCTGAGACAAAAACAGGGCAAATCATAGAATCATAGAATTATAGAATGGTTTGGGTTGGAAGGGACCTCAAAGATCATCTAGTTCCAACCCCCTGCCATGGGCAGGGACACCCTCCACTACACCAGGTTGCCCAAAGCCTCATCCAACCTGGCCTTGAACACTGCCAGGGATGGGGCATCCACAACTTCTCTGGCAAATAAAGGTTACAGAAAAAGAACTGGGGAAACGTTGTTAAATACATAATCTGAACCTACTGGGAGCATCGCCCTTTCGGCTTTTGCTTTACCACTTCAGAATCATATTGACTCAATGAGGTTCTCTCATCAAACCTTGTATCCTTCCATAAAATTAAAGAGCCACCACCCATCAGCTCGTAAAGATAGCTAGGAAAGTATTTCCTGTGATGCAAGAACAGATGAAGCATGGGGCCTCAACACAGAAATCATGTCAAGCCACAAATACCATTACATGTATTGCTGACAAAACACAGGGGTGGAATTCAAAATATGTGATCCTCAGCAAATAGAAAAGCTTTTTTTTTTTTTTTTAATAAATGGATTAAGAGATACAGGCAAATTTACTTCCTTGGTACACTTCCTATAAACTCCAGGAAGGACATTCTAAGTGAATATACTACCTCCTGCATGAGATTTTTTTTTTTTTCCCCAAAAAATATTTGCTAATATTAAACTGTCAATATCAAAACCTGCTGTAAGTTCCTCCTTCTGGTTTCGTATCAGTGAAAGATCACTTGGAAGATGTCTTGGAAAATCTGTGGCCCTTAATATTTTCTTCAGTGAGTATTTAAAAAAAGATCATGATTTTAGAATCATAGAATCATAGAATGGTTGGGGTTGGAAGGGACCTCAAAGATCATCTAGTTCCAACCCCCCTGCCATGGGCAGGGACACCCTCCACTACACCACGTTGCCCAAAGCCTCATCCAACCTGGCCTTGACCACTTCCAGGGATGGGGCATCTACAACTTCTGTGGGCAAAGTGGCATGGACAGTAATGTGAACAGCAGATATGGACCTGTATTACTGACACTCTGTGTGATATATCTCACTCACTTCAAGTGACTAAAAGTCAGACATCTGTATCTGCTCATCACACTAGACTTTCTTCATCGTCAGTGGAGAGGAACGGGCACTCCTACAGAAAAAAAACTTCTGACTTCACTGAGACATCTTGTCCAGGATGAGATGCACTGACCTATTCATAAACATTGCTGAGCGTAATTAGCTCAGCCTGAAACATCATTCAGCTGCCTTAGGCAGACAGATCCCACCCCGAGTTAAATCTGACAGTGAAAGTAAGAATTCCTCTGGCCTTTGGGGATGAAGGGCCCAAATGAAGAGTACATGAAGCAAATGCAACTGCAGGCATGGACAGACATGCAGCCACCTTACCCTCAAACTGAGTAAGTATAGCCAATGCAAGCTCTAAAAATCAGTACCAGAATTTCATAGATTTCATAGATTTCTAGGTTGGAAAAGACCTTAGAGATGATCCAGTCCAACCATCCCTCATCTCCCATTAAACCATATCCTTAAGTAGTTCATCCACCCTTTTCTTAAACACATCCAGGGATGGGGACTCAACCACCTCCCTGGGCCATTTAAATTTGATTAAATGCTCCTCAGTTTTCCTTCGCCGAGCTCTGAACCGATGTGGTTACACCACGACCGTTACCCAGACTACTTGTTTCAAAATTAGCCCAGATACCCAGGCTGTGTACATATACCTTTAAATGTAAGCCGTGCAAAGGTAGGGCAATAAAAACAGAATTCCGTCAAGTCTTCCAGAAACACCCCACTATGATTGCACAGCTGTGAAAACATCAGTCTAAGGAATAAACCAGGAGAAGGTAAAACTATGAAAAGATGATCTGGAACAATTTGCCCGTGTTTTTCTGCTCCGTAAATCTACTTGTAAAAGCTTTGTCTGAAAAACGATGAAAATAATACCCCTTGCAAAATGTAAGCACAGATATGTTGAGATCACTGCTAAATGCTTGTTTTTTTGTTTTTTTTTTTAATGCCACTTCCTGTGGAAGCATTATTGGAGCTGTGTGACAACCTCTTTTCTGCATAAATCCTTCCACTGCTGCTAGATGCAGCCTAATCAGTTTGGGTCATCTCCTCGCTGCCAGCGGTTTAATCGTGGTTGATAGCCTGACTCATCAACTCTCTGTTGAAGGCTGGTTTTACAATGAAAGCTTTTATTCAAGAAGATGAAGGGAAGAAAATTCTAACAATTCCATTTCTGGGACTAGTAACCATTTTTTAAATGGTCAACGCACTCAGTGTTTTCTTTTAGGAAATACTCTGGTTCAGGAAAGCCTGTATGATAGGGGGTGATTTAACATCTTCAAAAGAAAAAGACTGACCAATGAGTTCGTTTTCTCATAGGCTTAGTCAGAGGAAGTAACAAGACTTATATATAGATACATTTGAAGTGGCTTGTAGACACCTGCGTTCAACATACGTTTTCTAAAATAATGTCCTGCTGCAAGGAAACCGCTGAACAACGACATCCCAAAGAACAGAGCTGTGAAATGAAAATGAATATTCCGTTTCTATGACCACAGCTATGATATTACACTGGTGCCAAAGGACTGTACAGCCTTCAACAGAAAGAAGAATAAGACCTCTACTCCAATCAAAATTAAATTAAGCTGTTTGTCCAGAACGCCTTCATCAGTCACAGTCAATGTTTAGATCAGCCTTTGCTTTGGTCTGGTAGAGGGATGAAGGCACCTAGATACTCTTGTTTTTAGAGGTATTGCTTAAATTTTTTTTTTTAGCAGAGGCATGCTGAGAGCCATCACAGTGAGTCTAGCTTTCAATGAGTGCCTCACGTTCTGGTTTGAGTAAATTAAAGCAAACAAGATGGTTTTTTAAGCCACCTTAATCCCTCATGAGCTATTAGATACAGAAACTAGCAGACCTTAATGATGTCAGCTTCTGTTTTAAGCTAAGGATTCCCAGAACATTGATAGATTCTCTGTCAGGAGATGCTTATAGTGACACTATTCCAACTATGTTTAAGTAGTAAGGTGTCAGAGAAGCAAGAAGGCAAAACTAGAGAGGACAACATTAGATATGAAGACATCTCACATGGTTCAGAAAGAACCAATATTTGTAACTGTTTGACTTTTTTTTTTTTTTAACAAATATGTATTTACTACAATAGGAGGGCTCAAACTCTGTGGACATGAAGGTTGATAGCTGTTGATTTTCACAAGCATCGTACTGTTTTTTTCAAGGGCGTGTAGTGATAGGACAAGGAATAATGGCTTTAAACTGAAAGAGGGCAGATTTAGATTAGATATAAAGAATAAATTATTCAATCCGAGGGCGGTGAGGCACTGGAACAGGTTGCCCAGAGAAGCTGTGGGTACCCCATCCCTGGAAGTGTTCAAGGCCAGGTTGGATGAGGCTTTGGGCAACCGGGTGTAGTGGAGGGTGTCCCTGCCCATGGCAGGGGGGTTGGAACTGGATGATCTTTGAGGTCCCTGCCAACTCAAACCATTCTGTGATTCGCTATGATTCTACATGTGTTTATGGGTTACTGCTGGCCATGATTCAGATTTTCCCCTATGCATTTTATAATTATCCAAATATCTCTAAAGTTGCTATTAACTTTTTTTTTTTTAATAATAATACTTGTCCAAAGTGACTAAGACTTTTCAGTTGTGATTTTTTTTTCATCTGGAAAAAAATGTTCCAGTAGAAAATTATCAACCAGCTGTAATAACATATATATATATATATATAAATATAAAATTTACACCTGCTCACTTATGAGAATCAAGTGTCTGAGAATAGGTTGGACAATGTATAGAAATTTATCTTCTGGAGTAATCTACAGGAAGAAAGATCTTCAGCAATTACTGATTAAAATAAGAACTGATCATGTGTCTCAGGAAGATAAAACCCAACGATTTTGATCTAAAACTCTTCCTTCCTGTCTGCCTCCTCCAGTTTAATCTTTTCTCATACTTTTCTGTCTCATATGCATTGCTGTTTTGTCACTGCTTTTGCTGGCTCTGCACATGCAGCGCAAGGCTAGCAAATGCTCCTCGTGGCTAATCAAAGGGCCAAAGGGCAGGTACAAAAACATGTACTAAATGATTAGTTAACCCACATTTTCTTCTCCAGAGACCACTGTAATTTTACTTGAGGCTAGCAAGTACTTCCCTATTATCCCCATATCATAAGAGTAGAAGGCCAATAAACCAATTGTTTAGGAAAAACTGATGTGCAGATCATTTCAAGCACCAACTCAATATACTTAGGGGACTTGCTCTTTTCCTTCAGGGAATCACCTCTATACCCTGTCAAAACCTCTGTGGATGGTAAGAGCTGAGCTGAAGTCTAAGGAAGGTAAGATCTAGCTGTTTTTCTTTCAGGGGAATTCTCTTTTTCTTCCGTGCTGATATATGATACGTTCAGCACAATGTAGAAGTGTGGGGGGAAAATAAGCAAAAAAAAAAAGATTTGGCAAGGCGTACTCACCACAACTCAAATTGTTTTCTGCTTTCAGTGCTGAAGTTGGAATACTCCAGAATTCATTTTCCCAGTCTACAATGTTTCCTTTCACATCGCAGCTGAGGTTGGCCAGCGTTTGCGCATTCATGGTGAAATTCCAGAGGCGGAAGTTGTAAATGTCCCCATTTAGAGAGCTCACTTCATTGCTGTTAGAGCCCAGCACCAGCCTCCCATTCCCAGGGATAACTTTGTTAAAGATATCCCGGCAGTACACTATATGATAGATGCTTTTGGCATATATACCTATACTGCCCGAGAAGGTATCCCCTACGATGCAGAGCTGTTGAAAGGTTCCAGTGAAAAACTCTGCGTTTCGAGGCAATGCTTTCTCAAGGATGCACTGCGTGCCCAAGATGGACAGAAAATGGCCTTTTGTTGTCTTCCCGAAGCTGAAGAATTCTGTCGACAACGCATCGGTGTAGGAGAAAACCTTCCAGTCGTCGTTGTCATCGCTGCTGCCCTTGGTTGCTTCAAAGCACAGGGTGAACTGGCTAAGCTCTGGCATGGAGACACCCTCTGCCACGGACACAGCATCGACGTCGGGAACCTGGGGAATGATGACTTTCTGATTCCTCAGAGATACGGCGACTAGAACCGAGAGCAGACAAATAAATTACCCAAAAAAAAAATAAATTCATCGTACAGAAGCAAGGGCAGACTGGCAGCAGGGGTTAAAGTAACATTCATGACAGCAAATAGTCATCAAGTGGTTTTTATCACTGTAATTCACCAACAACATGCACAAAGGGGAATTTGGCTGGGGAGTGTACTCAGCTGAAAATATGCAAAATTCCTTTTCAACAGCATGGACAATGCTGCACTGCACACAGTGAACAACCCTTAAAATTGCATTAAGAGCAATGTTAGGACATACTACCTACTAACTTCCAACTTTGCCTCAGCTCACTTGATAAAAATTACTACTCATTCATCTAGTAAGGATGCATTAGACAATGGAATAAACCAGTTATTTGAAAAACACAGTGTGACTTGCTTTTAAGATACGTTATTTTAATTACTTGTCTGCATGACTGCATGACACCAGTGAAGTACAGGCCTTGCTTCTTTTAAATATTAGAATCATAGAATCGTTAGGGCTGGAAGGGACCTTCAAAGGCCATCTAGTCCAACCCCCCTGCAAGGAACAGGGATATCTCCAACTAGATCAGGTTGCTCAGGGCCTCGTCCAACCGGGCCTTGAACGTCTCCAGGGATGGAGCATCCACCACCTCTCTGGGCAACCTGTTCCAGTGTTCTACAACTCTCATGGTAAAAAATTTTTTCCTAATATCCAACCTGAATCTACCTCCCTCTATTTTAAAACCATTACCCCTTGTCCTATCACAACTGGCCCTCCTGAACAGCCTGTCCCCATCTTTCCTGTAGGCCCCCTTGAGGTACTGGAAGACCGCTATAAGGTCACCCCGGAGCCTCCTCTTCTCCAGGCTGAACAGCCCCAACTCTTTCAGCCTGTCCTCATAGGAAAGGTGCTCCAGCCCTCTTATCATCTTCATGGCCCTCCTCTGGACCCTCTCCAACTGGTCCATGTTGCAAAAGCCCCCAGTACATTCCTTGCCCAGCTGAAGCCTTTTGTTCCTGAATTCAGCTAACAGGTTTCTGCAAAACATTAGGCATCTTCTCGTTTTGTCCCCAACACTCTTCTGGTTGAATACTGCAATCGTGTGTTTGTGAATATTTATACCCAAGCTGTGCATTATTTGCTAGCATTTGGGTCAGCAGTTTTAGATTTTGTACAAGTATCTAGAAATGGCTCGTTCTCTTGCAAACACGCACTGCAGTAAGGGTATTTAGGCATGGGCAGAATTACTCTGTCTGTAATTGTTATTAAGTATTCTCATTTGCATTGGCAAAATGGCAGTCACCAAATGTGAAAAACAGTATGACACCACATACGTTTTTCTCCATCAGTAAATTAATGACTATTCTGTTCATTCAGACTATTCTGTTCATTGCAGCCTTCCAGTACTTAAAGGGGGCCTACAGAAAAGCTGGAGAGGGACTTTTTACAAGGGCGTGTAGTGACAGGACAAGGGGCAATGGATTTGAACTGAAAGAGGGCAGATTTAGATTGGATAGAAGGAAGAAATTCTTCACCCTGATGGTGGGGAGGCACTGGCACAGGTTGCCCAGAGAAGTTGTGCCTGCCCCATCCCTGGAAGTGTTCAAGGCCAGGTTGGATGAGGCTTTGGGCAACCTGGAGTAGTGGAGGGTGTCCCTGCCCATGGCAGGGGGGTTGGAACTGGATGATCTTTGAGGTCCCTTCCAACCCAAACCATTCTATGATTCTATGATTCTACTTCAGAGAACGTTATTCTTCAAAGTAAAGTATCAATATGCTCAGTTTTATTGGCACACTCATGGCAGCAAGATGCTAGTAATCTTCACCACAGAAAGAAGTTCCAAGTTACCAGTCATGCAAAGGCATCGAAGTCAACAAGATCAGATTGCAGAAGCTCTCGGTTTTACTTCTTGCTCCGCTGTTCTGTGGCAGACCACATCTCCAGCAAATGCCTGCTACCTCTTTTACTGATTTTCACAGGGTATATGCAGAAAGTGAAACTGGTTTTTGCTAGACCTGAAGAATAACTGCCACAGTAGTTAATTCCTAGTCTCCCGCTGGGATTTTTAAATGATGCCGCAACACATATGTTAATTACTGCACCTGTTCCCTTCTCAGAATGAAATAAAAACCTTTCAATATGAGAGGATGAGACATGTGAAGGAAGGGTGCCATAGTCAGGAAAAAAGACAGGTATTTGGGGTACAAGGATTCTGTGTAGTGGTATTGTGGTATTGCAATTTCTCTTTGCCAGCTGCTTGCAAAGACTCTGAGCACCAAACTACCATGTTTGGATATACACAAGGAGATAATTTGACCAATATATTATATATTAAAATAACATAAAGCATTGCACATTATCTGCCAACCCAGCAACTGGAGAATGGGAGGGAAGAGAGAAAAATACTAGCCTTTTATAGTTACTGGATTTACTTCATAGATTTTTTTTTTCTTCCCAAGGGCAAAAGTATGTTGTAACAATTTTATAGATAGAAAATGTGTTCAACTCTCCATTGAAAACAGGGGCATTTTTTCATGGGTTAATTATACTGTAAGCTTCTTTACGTAACGTGGAAAGTGTTCCAGAAGAAGTATAAGGATTCCAGACTTGAAAAAGAAGCAAGGTCATTCATATGAGCATTGTCCAGCCTGTGTGAGGGTGGTTAGGAAAGTTATGGACCACTTGGTCACATTTAAACAGTGCAAGAAGAGAAGTAAACTGGGAAGATGTTGCTCTGGTGCTGAACAAGCCTACTTAACTTTGCTGTCCTCATCTGACAGATTTAACCACTGGCACCTTCCTTGTACAGTGAAAGGACAAAACTGACAGGTATTTTGTCCACGTGGAGAAAACAGAATTCTGCCATCAAAATGAAGTGCAGCTCTATTTCCTGACCACTGCTGCACAACTGGTCATCATACTGATGAATTTCAGATGTTAGTAATGGAGAAACTGGTTGCTCTCTGAGGAAGAATATACATATATTCTTGGAATAGCCATCCAAGTGTTTAGACTACTTCCAGAACGTTGTTAAATAGTTTCTGTTAGGAAGATAACTAGATTGCAACGAGCAGGGGTTTTTTTTTGGACATATTGCTATTTACTCATGAAGAACGCACAGAAGTCTTGGCAGCCCAGATGCAGCAGGAGTGGCCAGCTCACTGTTCTGAGATCCACATCTGCTTTTACAGGAGCGCTGGGATGACATGAAGCCTGTCTCTGCTTTTCAGAGCCCCTAGCTTACTTGCAGCTCGCTGTCTCACATCTCACACACCCTTTTAGAAGCAGGCAAGTCAGGAGTCCCTAGACTGCATTTTACAATCCCTCGCAGCGAAAACTGGTTTCCTGCCAGTTGACAGTTTGGTGCTTGAATGGTGGCTTCTGCTGTCTTGGCTTCACTGCTTCCATCTGCCCTCTCACTGATGCTGGAAGCAAGGCATCAGCTTTAATGAATAATAATAAAATAATATAATAATGAATAATAATAAAATACCTGTTTGAGAGTTTTATAGAATCACAGAATGGTTCGGGTCGGAAGGGACCTCAAAGATCATCCAGTTTCAACCCCCCTGCCATGGGCAGGGACACCCTCCGCTACACCAGGTTGCCCAAAGCCTCATCCAACCTGGCCTTGAACACTTCCAACTTTTGTTTCTACCCCATTGAATTGTGCTTTTAATCTGGGCTGCTGCAATACTACTCAACTGCATGATAATTTTACATGACATTGTCTCAAGCATTTCTGGACCAACAGAGGTCTGTTAGCTATCCTTCTTCTTCTTTTGGTGACTGAGTGACTCTTACTCATCGGTGGAGCTATTACTTATGTGGTTAACTATTACTAGAACATTATTTAACATGCCAGCCCTTCAGCTGGTGTAAATTGACATAATTACCCTCAGACTAGCAAAGCTACATTTATTTTTTTTTTAACTGCAGCTGAGGATATGGTCCATCCATCTGCTGTTGGTGTGTTGCAGGAGGTGACAACAAGGAAAGTCAACATTCACGTGGGCGGCCAACTTGTTATGGATAACAGGACGCTCTCTGTGAAACTCAGTTTGAAACCACTCTTACATGAAACCAAGCAGTCACACAAAAGCTGTTCTATTCTCAGCTAATTCCCTCCCAAAACTCACTTACTCTCTTATATTTGTCTTTCCCCACATACATTTTGTCTTGTGTGCACATCGTATATCAGGATGTACCATTAATGTCTTTTTAAATGCCATTTCTAGATAGCAAATTGCTGTGTGTCTTTGAACGGCCCTTTACTTTGCAACTTTGCACTACTTTGTGAAAAACAATTTTATTATTTACATATGATCATTTCTGGGAGATTAAATAAAATATGAATATAACGCAGTTCCCCTCACTCTGGGACAAATGAATGATTTTGCCCAGGTATCAAGCTTGTAGAAGTTACAATGGTGTTGGCTTGACAGAGGAGTTTTGAAACTCCACTGGAGACCTGAAGTGAGGGCGGGGGGAGGGGTGCAATCTCTCCGATGGCTTTGGGAACTCTTGGCAAGGACTGGAGAGTGTAGCACGGACATCTGCCATGCAGATGTGTTGCAATTTCAGCATGCATGTGCACTGATGTCCTGTTGTCTACATGCTTTTATAACTGGAAAGGAAACCATTATCATCCCTTTACCAAGCCTCTTTTCTACATCCATTGCCAGGTTAAACATTGCCATGATCTTTGTCTATAACTATCTTCTGAACCCAATGTAGAATCATAGAATCATAGAATGGTTAGGGCTGGAAGGGACCTTCAAAGGTCATCTAGTCCAACTCCCCTGCAAGGAACAGGGATATCTCCAACTAGATCAGGTTGCTCAGGGCCTCGTCCAACCTGGCCTTGAACGTCTCCAGGGATGGAGCATCCACCACCTCTCTGGGCAACCTGTTCCAGTGTTCTACTGGAACAGTGTTCTAATGTAATAAGAGAAGAGAGTAATAAGTAATAATAAGTAATAATAAGTAATAAGTAATAATAAGTAATAATTCTAATGTAATAAGAGAATGTAATATTAATGTAATTACATTCTACAGTGTTCTAATGTAATTGCACAACTGTGGGCAACAAGCAGAATAGTTATCATTTGCCTCAGATGCATGCAGCCAGCTCTCCTGGCATCCACAGTCAAAACCAAGATGTCAGTGAGAGTTACAGATTTGGAGTAAGGAAAGGAGGAATTTGGAGTAATGAAAAGATTTGGAGTAATTCTGCAGCCTTAGTCTAGATGTTTAACAGCAGGCCTTAACATAGAGTTTCTGAACTAATATGTATGTGAAACATTAAAATATAAGTCACTAGTGAAGGTCACTGATACCTTTACTCACACTGGGGAGCAGTTGTCTTATCAAAAAGAAAGTATATCTTCCAAGACTAGTTAACGTTAATGGTGCTATCCATGAACGTAAGGTACTACTCAATTTGACATGGAGGTAATATTTTTGCTTTCATAAAAATACATTATCTATAGGTGTATATATATAGACAAAAGGCCACTTTGTCTGTGGGCCTTTCCTCAACTTCTTATTGAACACGCTTGAGGGCAACGCTGCATCTTTCAATTTCAATTGTAAGTCGTCTTATCCCTTATAGTCATACTTAAACATTAAAATATTAAAGAGGAATAAAGAAATAAATAATTTTGCATAATCTGATTGCATATAATTTTATACGATCCATTTCATTTTACAGCTTCTTACAATACAGCAAGAGCTGCTATTTTCAAATAAAGAAACCTTTCAGAAAATTTGCTTCCACTTTTGGAAGAGAACAGGTGCTCTTAGAATTATTACTACATTCATTTCATCAGCATGAAAGGTCCTCAGTAGAAAGAAGTCAGCTCCTCTGAGATGATGTTACCTTTTTTCTTTTCAGATTCCAAATTTTGCTGGTATGATTGAGGCTAATTTTATGATTCCTAGGGGTCACTGTCTTAATTATTTTAAAATATAAGATACGTGTAATACATATTAAAAAAATAATAAATTGTGAGGAAGATGTGCTTGTGACTGAAGAGATAACTGCAAACCTCCCTGCTCTGTGTTTCTACAGCAGCCAGCCAACCAACAGACCATGTGTGCTACAAGAATATAAATGCTCAATGCAATACTAGTATTTGCAATACTATTATTTACAATAATATAAATGTTCAATGCAATGATATAAATGCTCAATCAGTAGTATTCAGTCTAAGGTGTGTGACTTCAACAAAAAGAAAGCTTGCTGAGAGTATGCAACTGCAGACTATAGCCCTGAAGTGGAATGAATGGTGAGCAGCATATGGGACCTGTAAGCGATCAGCGTTACCTCGCTGTCCTTTACTGTCATGTGACAGCAAGTTCTAATTAATGCTTTAAATGACCAAGCAAACATCAATCACGTGTTATTTGTGCCCTTATCTTCCAGGGGAAAAAGCATGATTCTTGCGGTTGTTAGGCTTTTCACAGAATCCCAGAATGTCAGGGATTGGGAGGGACCTCAAAGGATCATCTAGTCCAATCCCCCTGCTGGAGCAGGACCACCTAGATCAGATCACACAAGAACGTGTCCAGGTGGGTTTGGAACATCTCCAGAGAAGGAGACTCCACAACCTCTCTGGGCAGCCTGTTCCAGTGTTCTGTTCCCCTTACTGGGAAGAAGTTCTTCCTCATATTTAAGTGGAACCTCCTATGTTCCAGCTTATATCCATTTCCCCTTGTCCTATCATTGGATGCCACTGAGAAGAGCCTGGCTCCATCCTCATGGCAGTCACCCTTTCCATATTCATAAACATTAATGAGGTCCTCCCTCAGTCTCCTCTTCTCCAAGCTAAAGAGACCCAGCTCCCTCAGCCTTTGCTCATAAGGGAGATGCTCCACCCCCATCATCATCTTTGTGGCCCTGCGCTGGACTCTCTCCAGCAGTTCCTTGTCCTTCTTGCACTGAGGGGCCCAGAACTGGACACAATATTCCAGATGTGGCCTCACCAGGGCCTCACCTTTTCAAAATCTGCCTTCTGCACAAACTCCTCCCCACTGTTGGGTGTTCCACTGGGCCAGAGGTCTGGGCTGGCCTCAGTTCTGGCTCAGCTAAGTTCCCTCTCATGCTCTCCTTTAGGTTTCTATGTCCCTCTGCAAGCACGCTGACCTGAAGGACAGGTGTCCTGCTTCCAAACCAAAGCATAAGTCTGCAGGGAGAGGCACTGTCAGGCCTCAAATCTTGTCATGTGAAGTTTTTCTAACGTGTTTGATGTCATGTCCTGGAATAAAATAATTTATTTTAATCTGAAGAAAAATAAATTAGTTACAAAAACGTACAAGAGAACTCTGTAGTTTTACCCTGCAGCGTCCCCATCCTTTCCCTTCTCCTGGAGGACTTGATTCCTTCAGGAAGTGTCAATTTAATCCTCACAGGACACTTCCTTCTAACATCTGTAAGAGGGACGGAATGCTTTGGGTTTACTTACTTCGTACGTAGCTGGCATTAAAACCTTTCTTTTGGATACTGAAGTCGCTTTTAAATGACACGATCATTTCATTTCCGGTGGAGTTATAGGATAATCCTTTGGCAGTGATGCCACAAAGGTTCATTGGGCTTTCTCCATTGTCTAAAATCAGCGAGTCATAAATGCAGCCCGGAGCTTCTTCAATGTCAAAATCAATAAACGTTAGCTGTATGATGAATCCATGAGGTGCTCGGATGATCCACTTGCACGCTTGGCTGTTGGGATAATCACTGGGGAAGCATGGAGAAGTGAAAACTCCAGAGGGGTCAGTTAGCACGATCCTACAGTCATAGCATCCGTGAGCTGGCAACAAAAACAGAGAAAGGCTGGAGGTCAGGAAGATAGATAGCAGGAAAGGAATCATCAACATAATAACCAAACGTATTTCTATACAGAAAAACACAAACAGAGATGGGAGGAAGAAAGGCAGAAAAAAGCCTGGTTGCTAGTTGGCAAAATGCTAGAGGAACGGTAGAGCAAAAGAATGTTTTATATAAGAAATCCTATACAAGAGAAATAGAACTTATACTGCTAAATATTAATTTGTGCCCACAATATTTATATCTGCTACATATACTGACCTGACCGAGGCGAAGCGAAAGCAATGTTTTTGAATTCAGAAAGGCAAACAAATTCTTAAACTGCAACTTCTGAGAAGATGACTGGTATCATTAACATTTTTTTTGGCTGCTGGTCTGATGCTGACCGGTGGCTATGGCAGCAGCTCTGTGCCATGCCATCGTTTCCAGTGGAATGTCTCTGGAAGGCAGCAGCACAAGAGATGGGCTGAAGAGCAGCAGAAGCAGCAGCTCTGCAGAGCTCTTGAAGGTTAGTCATCAGCATTTCCGACCAACATCACCCAGAAGGGTAGCAATGACCTACTGGCTTTTGAATCAACAGCAAATTACTGCAATCTTCCCATGCTGATTCAGCTCCATTGGCACGTTTGTGGCAGTCAGGCTCCAAGAAATTCTTACCCTGTTCCTCCTACTCCTTTGCTCACCTGCTGTGCTTATCCACGAGAATTTCAGGCCCTGTTAGCCCCCAGGGCTGCGTTTCTTGTTTGGTTTACATTTGCTCATTTATCATCTATTTACTTCGTGTATTATACGATATAATCCCTGTGAACTGCTTGCTGCTAAAATCTGTACCAGTTTGCCAAAGCAGCCCTGAACAAACCAGGTGGGAACTGTATTGCCAACGGATAACCAAAGAAACCAACCAGCACATTTATGCTAAATTACTCCTGTGTCAAGTACTACAAGCATGAAAAAACTAGGATAACGCGAACATGAGTTAGTTAAAGCAACTGAAAAAGTTGCCAAGCATAAAGTACATATGGAGCAGCTATAAAATAGGAATAAACACAAGACTCTTCTCCAAAGAGCCCTTGATGTTTCTTCCCACTGCTTGGGTCCTGGTATTGTTCTGTCTCATTCAAATGGTGTTTGCCCTAAACAAATGGACACTGACTCTGTGAAGTGGCACAGCAAAAAAAAAAAAAAAAGAAGCCGTTTACACCTGCAGGGAGAATTGCAAGGTGTATTTTACAAAGTTTTCATAATTTTTATTTGCAAAACAGAAATTCATATGGCTCCAAAGAGGTAAAGAGACCGCTGATTAACTGGGCTCTCAGAGTCAAATACAGCTGGCTACATTAGAAAAGATCAGTGGGATGCTTATTTGTTGAAATAAGAAAAAAAGATTGTCTGAAAGATTTGCAGGTGGCTTTGGGACGAAGTGGCGCTCGTGACGTTGGAGAACTTGATCTGCATATTAGGAGCCTGTCCACTCCTAATTTATCTGGAAATCTTTACAGTCAGAGGACTGTGCTCACCTGCCCTGAAATCCTGCTGTTCCATTTATTAACCAGAGAGGGAATATTTACTTATTAGTATGGTGCCCATCAATCCTGCAGTTGCACAAACAGATGACAGCTTCAACCAGTGGATTTCACAGAACCACTCCAGACTGAGAGCAGGAGGAACAGGAAAAGCACCCTCTAAGCCACAAGCCACTGCGGTCTAGTCCAGGGCAAGCGAGCAGCTGTAAGACGGCTCTGGCTGGAGCCACCTCCAAATGGATTCACACTCATAGAATCATAGAATGGTTTGGGTTGGAAGGGACCTCAAAGATCATCCAGTTCCAACCCCCCTGCCATGGGCAGGGACACCCTCCACTACACCAGGTTGCCCAAAGCCTCATCCGACCTGGCCTTGAACATTTCCAGGGATGGGGCAGCCACAACTTCTCTGGGCAACCTGTGCCAGTGCCTCACCACCCTCAATGTAAAGAATTTCTTCCTTATATCCAATCTAAATCTGCCCTCTTTCAGTTTAAATCCATTGCCCCTTGTCCTGTCACTACACACCCTTGTAAAAAGTCCCTCTCCAGCTTTCCTGTAGCCCCTTTAGGTACTGGAAAGCTGCTATAAGATCACTCCTGCCTTCATTATTGCTGGGATGAAGGCTACAGGAGCTGAGGATTTGGCAACATGCCCACACTCCCCTACTCGTTCCTGTCAGAGAAATAAATGGCACAGAGCTGTATGGGCAGTTGGGAGCTTTCCCTGTGCACCCAGATGGACCTGCAGCCAGGGACTAAGCTGGTAAGTGATGTAAATACATATAGAAACATGGGTGTTTTTTCTCTTTCAGCCTTGGACCCCTAAAATAAACCTTGAGGGCATTATAAAACATTGCTGAACCAGAAAAAAAAATACCCTTTTACTGACAAGTGGTGTATCTGTCAAATTGGTAGAATACTACAGTCAACCTGAGACTGGAAAAGTGAAATTTCTCCATCAGAAAGAACACCTGTCTTTATTAATTCTGTCGATCACCATCAGCCAAAACAGGACTCAGCTCTTCTATTCATCTCTCTCTTGAGTATTTATCACTGCTTCTAAGCTGTGTAAAAAGAACCATCAGTACACGTAACAAAAATACTTTTACCCCCACTTTCACTGCAAATACTAAAACATGTTATTTATCTTAGGTTTTGGGGGTTTTTTTTTGCTAATTTAATCTTTTCACTAACATCTTCTCATTTTATTTCATCCATATTGTTTTGTTGGTTTTATAGAATTAATGCAAAAAACCAGCCCCTAAATTTAGGTAGGAAAATAAGTGCTCGAAACTTTACATGCACAGAAGAAACAGATTTGGTGAGCAAAATAGTTTACTTTTTTGAAGTGGGTTGGCTCCATTTTGGCATAGGAGCTATTCTGTCCATGACTGCAATTTGAAGGAGAAATATCCTGTTTTCATGCAAATGTCCACAGTAGCAAGTAAAAAGAAAAGAAAACAAACAACAAAACTATATATAAACAGAATGGTTTTGAATGGAACTTTTTGCACAGCTTCTCATGAGACAGTTATTTTTCTATAAACACCACCTATTTTACCCATTAAAGAGAAAAATTGCTGTGGCAACCTTAGGCTGTCAGCCAAAGCTGACAGATATTTTGCAATCCCACTGGCCCAGAGCAGTTCTGAACTGTGGATACCGAATATTTGTTGCAATACACACCACAAACATTTCTGCAAGACATCTGAGATATTTTACTGATTTTAATGGGAACAAATTTAGGTATGATATTCTCGGTCAGGAACCCAACATAGGCAGAATCTGCCTGTCAAGTGTTTTGTGGGTTTTTTTTATCATCCTGGAGCACAGGAAATTCACTCTTTAAATATATTTTATCCAATAAAAGCTTTCATCCTTTCTGCCCCTCTTTTTTTCCCCAAATGAACAGTCCCCACGTATAATGCAACCAAGCACTTAATTTCAACATTTCCTAGATTGAAAGTTTCACTGGGCAATTCATTTGTCTCCATCATGAGAATACTCTGGAGTATGGTTTTCATTTCATAATCACTTCTTTTTTTTCTGCAGGACTCACGCTTCTTATAATAAAAGAGTAATTAAGTATTTAGTATGACACTTCAACACGACACTAAAAAGGAAAATTAATAAATTCCTCTGGAATATGTTAGAGCTGTCACCAAAGTTATCTAAGCAATTTGCAAATGTTAATTGACTTCAGAAGGGGAATTGGCTGTAGGGGAAATAGCTTTTTCCCTCCCTTCATGCCCATTTTTACAAAGATAAAGTTAGGCATGGAGATAATGGGCAAAAATGGCAAAAGTTTCCATGGATTTTTGGGTTCCTAATCTAAGAAATTAAGAGTACTGATTTTCCTTAACTACTTAGCATTTGTACAAGTTTTGTATGTCCAAAGCACCCTATCAATAACTTTAAACTGCAGCTGAGAGAGCAGTCTGCCAATCTGGCCCACTGTAGAAAATTCAAAAAAGAGTACTTAGTGGCCAATGGAAAATTTTGGTCAAAGCAATTTGGCCATCTTTAATAGGAACTTATCAGTAAAGGCAGGGATAGAATCCCATTCTCATGGTTGCCAATTTTCCTAAGCATGAGACCATTTCCTCTCTTCTGTGAGCCTCTTGCCTATTCCACATATATAATTTTTAATAAAGTACCCTATACTAGTCTTTCCTACCCCATGCTGGATCATCTGAAGACTATCCTAAAAATAAGGGGCTAAGGGAAACAGTATGTGACTCATTAAAGATTGCACCCCACAGACAGACGTGTGCACACACAAACCTCATCTCCTACAGAACAAAACTGATCGCCCAGCTTGTCCCATATACTGATTTTGTCTCTTTAGAGCCCCAGGACAGAATTCCATCGTTTGAACTCATGAAGACACCTGTAGGCACTGAGATACACAATTTGAAAGTGACTTGCATAAGCCATTTGTGGGCAGCTGAAGCCATAGTCAGATCCAGAGCTACAATGTTGAACTGCAGATTTGGGAAGGAAACGTTCTGTATATAACTTCGTCCCATACGTTCATACTTCTCTTTTTTTTTTTTATTTCTTCTTACATGACTAACACATTCCGGCACTTGCCTCCAAAATCTGTGCTAAGATTCATATTTTCCTCTAGCTCCTCACTCTTCTCTACTTCTCTCCATTGTCATCATTTCCCCCCAAAACCTCATCTTTTGCCCTGTTTATACTCTGCACTTCTTTCTCAAGCATAACTTTTGACTTCTACCTCTCCACCTGCTTTCATTTCTGCACTTACCCAACCTTGGAGAAATTCTGGACAACAAATTTTGTTTGGCTGAGAATTTTTTTAAAAGAGCAAAAGCAACCCAGCTTAGGACCCTGACTATTTCAGCCCTAAAGACTTAAAGTTTATGAAAGTCAGGATCAAAAGAGAACAGGGTCTCTAGGGAAAAAAGTCTGCGTATGCAATTCGTGCATGATCC